CATCTTATGGTGGCGGTACAAGCACAACCGACAGATGTTCTTCGATGTCAAAGGTAATAAAAGACGCGATTATATTACAAGTCAATTAAGTACATATGTAATCTTCGAGAATTCATCTCTAAAACCACGATACAAATTTTATCATTACAGATCGACATCATGAAAATGTTTGCCTTGGAAACTTGAAGAGATTCCATTTTAGGGAGCTTCAAAGTGCAACAAACAACTTCAGTACCAAAAACATAATTGGGAAGGGTGGTTTTGGGATTGTGTACAAAGGACACCTTTCAGATGGTACTATTGTTGCAGTTAAGAGGCTCAAGGATGGCAATGCCATTGGTGGGGAGATTCAATTTCAGACTGAAGTTGAGATGATCAGTTTGGCTGTGCACAGGAATCTTTTACGCCTAAATGGCTTTTGTATGACCTCCACAGAGAGGCTTTTGGTCTACCCTTACATGTCGAATGGAAGTGTCGCTTCTCGTCTTAAAGGTAAGGGCAATTAAGCATAATCTTGCTTTCTTTTCACCTTAGATAAATAAGTTTACATAAGTTCCAATAAGGGCGACCTAATCTCAATATATGACTAAACAACTTTTACAACTAAGATACGTCAAGGAAAATTCAGATGAAAAGAACGAATCTTTAATCTTTAATGTAGGTTTTGGTGCAAACAAAATTGCATAACCTTCACTCCTGTCAATGTTTAGAAAGATGCTAATTTTGTCTATTCACAACAATTGACCATGCAGCAAAGCCAGCTCTAGACTGGGGTACCAGAAAACGAATTGCATTAGGGGCAGCTAGGGGACTACTGTACCTTCATGAGCAATGTGATCCTAAGATAATACACAGGGATGTTAAAGCAGCTAATATCTTGCTGGACGATTGCTGTGAGGCCATTGTCGGAGATTTTGGTTTGGCTAAGCTATTGGACCACCGGGATTCACATGTCACTACAGCTGTTCGGGGCACCGTGGGTCATATAGCTCCAGAATACCTCTCTACTGGACAATCTTCAGAAAAAAACAGATGTCTTTGGATTTGGAATCCTGCTCCTAGAGTTAATAACTGGTCAGAGGGCACTAGATTTTGGAAAAGCAGCAAACCAGAAAGGAGTTATGTTAGATTGGGTAAGCAAATTTAATTGAAGGAAATTAGTACAATTCGTTTTTTAAAAATGATTTTCCTCTAAATTTTGACTGTATTTGCAGGTGAAGAAGATTCACCAAGAAAAGAAGCTAGAGATTATGGTAGACAAGGACTTGAAGAATGAGTATGACAGGATTGAGCTTGACGAAATAGTCCAAGTAGCTCTTCTATGTACTCAATTCCTCCCTAACCAGAGACCAAGGATGTCAGAAGTGGTAAGGATGCTCGAGGGAGATGGTCTTGCAGAGAAATGGGAAGCTTCTCAAAGAGCTGATTCCGCAAGGAGCAGAGGCAACGAGTTCTCCTCATCAGAGCGGTACTCTGACCTCACTGACGATTCTTCATTGCTTGTTCAAGCAATGGAACTCTCTGGACCTAGATGATAGTCCTTTTCCAATCAGAGAACTACTATATATTTTCATAGAGTTAGAGATCGGGTTAATTCAACAAGATCGTGGAATGAATCAGACGATCTGGTTTTCTTGAGCATCATCGTAAATCAGTTAGTGAAGCTCAGCAGAGTCTGTCTATAACTTGGTATTGTACAGAATCAGAATCCAGAAACATAATACAACGAGGAATTCAGGTGACCCACTTTCTTGATTGCATGAAGAATCTTTGTTAAAAAGTGCATTAAGTTCATTAGAATAGTGCAATGTGAAAAAGGGTTCCTGTTTTTTTCACCTTACAATTTATGATATCCTAGACTTGTAAGCATATATAGAGTGGCATTTTGAAAGGTGTAATTTCCCAGCCATATCTTAAAGAAGAGTGTATAATATATTGATATATTCGTATTCGCGTAGCCTTCCTTTAATGAAGAAACTGCCAGATTGATTGTGACTTGATTGTCTCATGTTTGGGCATCTTTTGAAATTTTGCTGTTTCCAAATGATCGACAATGACTATAGATTAGACTCATCAAAGGTTACTCCGAAATTTCAGTGTGAATTCAAAGAACATGCACAAGAGCCACTTTGCCTGGTTAGTTTGGTACTCAGCAAAGAGACAAATTGTTATACATTGCTGATTTACTAAAGATTGTAGTTGAACTTAATGACAACTTAGCATAATGTTTCACTAGAGATTTAACAATGATTATAGATTGGGCTGAACAAGGTTATTTAACATGACAATATTTTCCACGCCAAACCATGTAAAACTACTACGGCGCAATTTCTATTGTACTCCCGGAGTACAATGCTCACGGTACTCCGGGATTAAAACTTCACAATTGTTTTTTTAAAAAAAAAGATATCCCCAAACGAGAACAGAAGAGAGAAAATTTGATAAAAAATAAGGATTATAATACCCTAAATCAGTCAATTAAGATGGGGAAAGGGGAAAAAAAAGGAGAGAGAAACTCAAAAAGCATATTGGAATGCCATTAATGATGGCAGATTAAAGAAGGAGATAAGTCCGAAGAAGACAATCAAACAAAAGCAGTAGAATAAAACTAAATGTACAGAATAACATAAAAATATTGAAAGAATAACATAAGATTATATACAAAGTAACACAATTGTAGGCACGAAAAATTTAGTAACATAATTATATTTATCAAAATAACATATGGTCACTGTAAAATAACACATGGTTTTAACAAAATAACACAAGAACGCAATTGAATAACAGAAGCCTAAGAAGCAAAATAACATTAGGTTTTAAGTAAAATAATTTCATTTAAATTACAAAATAACATTCCCCACCACTACTTTCAAAGACTAAAATAACACAAATTAAACACAAAATAACATAAGATCTAAAGAACAGTAATATTATCTTGAGATAACAGTAGCCAAAAATCAAAATGTAGAAGCGAAATTTGTTTATCTCCTTTTTCATTTTCATCTACTACATCATATCTCCATGTATTAATTGCATATTAAATTTTTAAAAATACAAAAATTTATCACAAATTCAAAGCTAATTAGCAAAATAATTTACAATTATTTAAAAACTTACTTCAAGTATTAATTTATGTTAGTTTTGGGCTTGCTTGAGTAGGAATTTTGTCTTCAATATTTTGCAGACATGCAATTGAAGGTTTTTCACTCCATTTCAATTGGAGAAACTGTAATTTCAAACTGAGAGAGAAAAAAGAAAAGTGAGTGGAGAGATAAATAAAATGGTTTGATTTTGACATTTTGAGTCTATCTTTCTTATATACAATTTAAGTTATTTTATTTACTTTATTTGTTATTTCGTAAAATAAAATTTCGCATGCGCTTCTTTTAGTTGGGTTTTAGCCCATTAATTTAAGTTAGGCCTGGAGTACAATATTAGGTAGTACAATATAAGGTACTCCAGGAGTATCATATACTAATTGCTACTACGGAGTATGATGAAGCTGGTTTAAACCAAAACATACATAAAAAATGATCCATCTCACAAAAAAGCCGCACCTGCAAGAAATAAGGCAGTCCTACATCTCGCGTCCTCGCCCATTTAATAAGATGTTTAACTTGATCCTTAGAAATCACTCTACTGACATGTGAGCTCATGCTACAACACATAACCAATTAACCAAAGAGGTCTTAGGGCCTGTTTTTATTGACTAAACTCAGCTGAACTGAACTGAACTAAACTGAATTGAACTGAGCTGAGGTGAACTGAATTTTTTATAAGAGAAGGAAATTAGGAACTGAACTGAATTTCAACGTAGGAAAACAGGCCCTCAGCCTAATGGTTAAAACTAAGAGCCTGTTCTCATACGTTTATTTTCAGTTCATTTCAATTCAGCTCAGCTCAGTTCAGTTCAACTCAGTTCTGCTCCTAATTTCCTTCTCTTATAAAATATTCAGTTCAGTTCAGTTCAACTGATTTCAGTCTATTAGAACAGGCCCTAAGGGTATGTGTACGATTTGTATTTGCTCTTGGGGTTTACGTGCACCCCTCCCAGAAAAAAGCATAAACATTGGTTCTACAACATAGCAAAATAGTTGGCAATCCAATTTTCATTAGCATGCTTGATAAATGAGCTCAGATCAGAGATACATCTCCTTAATGCAATTGATTTCATGAGCTCAAGTGGTGGAGCCTACATTCTAGTGTCAACACCGGCACCGGCAATGGCCCTCCCCCAAGACTTCAAAACCCATTAATTAAGGGGAGAGACTGAGAGAGTTCGGGGATCCAGCGTTAACCTAAGTATGGGCATGAGGGATCCTCTCTGGACAGTTTTGCTTAGGTGGTGACTGGTGAGTTGGTGAAATATTTTCCGAATGCTTTGGTCAGTCTCTGGTGATCTTTTTCAAAAATAAAAAATTTAAAATTTGTTAAAGTCGATAATTCATCTGTACATTGTCAAGGAAGATTCTCATCGTCGGTGAGGTTGTGGCTATTGTGGTGGTGGATGCAATGGTTGTTGGTTAGCAAAGAGGAGAGAATGTTGTAAGAGAACAAAGAGAAGGGTGGGCAAGATGGCAAAAAGTTAAGACAATGACAAGTTTGGGTGGTGTTTAGGGCTCCACTTCTTGAAGTGTTTAACCTTTCATGGTGTGCAACTGTTAAAGAATTTAAGATGGGCCAACAGTATACAGTATGTTAAGAAGGCTTCAGGCTTCACACATCACACTCAATTGCTTGTTTATCCTAGGTTTCAAAATAATGGTTACGCTCCTCTACTTGAGGAATCTCGAGCCGTCGAGCCGAGATACATCAATGATCAACTTTTGGCATATAAAGGCCATTTTGGGCCAATACATTGGACTTGCTGAGTAGTCCAAAAAATTTGGACCAGATAGAGCAGGCTTTTAGGCTGGGCTGGAAATTTAACCAATATTTACATTTAGGCTTGCAAAAGCCCAATTATTAAATAAAAATGTGCCCAGCTCAAAAAATCTGCCCAAAACATGGTAATTTTCAGGTCGACCCAACAGGATAGCAGCGAACAAAAGGGGCATAATATATGAAAATGAAGGAAAAACAATGTATAATGGGGGGATATTGTAAGAAAAAGAATTCCTCCGTATAATACTTTCGTATGAAGTAAGTTGGGAAAAGTTAAGAAAGAAATAATAAGATAATGTGTAAGTGTAACCATTATTTTGAACAGCCAAAATAACAAACCGCAACCATTAGTTAAAAATGGGGGTAGTACAATCAAGGTCTGAGAACTTTGAAAGTCAGTAACATCTAAAACAACTCGAACACGATTAATAAGATATTATTATGGATTGAGCAAAAATGCAAAGCAACCTCAATTTTCCCATGATAATTCTATCTTTGCAGTTACATAGTCTACGGATTTACAGTATATCAGATTACTGTAATAAGAAATGATGCACATTCAAACTTAAATTTTTTTGGGAGAAATTATTCATCCACAGTTTGCACTTTCATATAAATTTACATGCAATGCAGAGAATTTCATACATGTTGTTTTGAAAAAGAATGGTTTCATGGAATTTTTTTTTTTATTGTGAGGGAATGAATTAAATTGGCTTCATGGTGTACCTTATATTCTGAGGGAATGCATTATAAAAATGCACAATATTCATTCTTGGATAAACTGAATTTCAGCTAGAGGAGAGGCTCGTCGCAGTCTTACCAATTCTACCAGCATATCCACTTTTAACTCTGTAACATATATACAGGGCACTATACTCATCTTTTCAAGAGCTGGAGAGTTCCCCAGTAAAAATTTTATCAATTCCATCTCATGAGGCACTCCATACATATCTGTCATCTTCACGGTTTTCAACTGTTTGAATGTGCAATCTGGAGGACATTCAGTCCCCCAAAAGTCTAAGTTAGGTGCATCCAGTATGACATTTGTGTTTGATGAACCCTAAGCACAAAACAGGAGAAGAGTACACAGATTCAACATACGTAACAGAAATCATAAGTGCAGATAATTCTGAACTAATGCACTTCATCATGACTTACAGAGATCTGAAGCTCCTGCAAGTTTGGGGAGTTTGTAATCAGGCGAAGAACAACCAGTAACTCTTTCATGTCCTCAAAACTTACTTGGTTTAATTCAATGATCTTTAGATGGCTGTAAGTCAGTGATGGTGTCCACTGCTCAATGCCTATGCTTAAATACTGGAAAAAAAAAAAAAATATACAGAACAAATTAAGGATGCAGCATAGTCATACTCCTGAGGTATATAAGGTCATATACTCATGTTACCTTCGTAAAGTAGACATGTCCAGCTAGCCTTTTGAGATTGGGTACACCACCAAGAAACTGGACGAAATTGCAACCTGAAAGTTGCTCAAAATGCTCCTGAATTTCATCTGTGTTCATATACAAAGAGATAGAAACTTCTTCCAGCATTGGGGTATTTTCGAGGCATAAATCTTTGAATTCACCTTCTAGGTGCAAGTACTTAAGATTAGAGGCATTGACATTCAAGTCCAAACCATCATAGTATGACAATGTTAAACTCTCAAGTAGAGGACAGCTAGTAATTAGGCTTTCAATTGCTTCAGGTGTCACCAAAACTTGATTGAGTGTCAAGATACGCAAGCATAGAAACCCTGTAAACCCAGGTGGAGGATCCAATTCACATCGACAAAGCTCCAAAAGAGTCAATTTCTTGAAAGAAAACAGACAAGTTGGCACCCTGAACCACTCACCATCACTCAATTCAAGGGTGAGCTCTCTAACATCATTCCTCGAGAGGAAAAGTAGCCACTGATCAATATCAGGGCAACTTTGCAGGATCGAAGTACAAATCTTAAACTTATGAATGGGGCCTTTGTGGAGAAAAAGGGCATGGGTAATAAACTTTATAAGCTTGTTTTCAACTACCGACTTGTCCGGAACAGGACTGACACATTTGTCACAGAAATTAAGCTGTGGAAGGTTTGCCCATCTATACCTCCATTTAGTTGACAATGTGCTCATTCTAACAGCATCTCTAATAGGCAGTAAGCAAAGGATAATCTCAATTATGCTAAGTGGCAGATCACTAAGTAAATCTGGAGCTGTTTCATCATCCATTTATCACACAAATTCAACAATATGACAAGATCACCTATCACAAATACATTAAGAAAATTTTATCAGAAATCAAATACTTATGATCATAAAATCAAAGGAAACATGTGAAAAATCAATAGTTGGGGTCAAAAAGTAATCTTGACAAAAACCCTTGTCACCAAATTGAAGAAAACCCCAATATAAAAATTCAAAATTGGGCCATAGAATTCAATTAAAATTGAAATAATAATAAAAATTGCCAATTTAATTAATTTTGTAATTCGGAATTAAACCCCAGAAACCCAATTAGAAATTTAGAATATTTTCACATATTTCACATCCTTATAAATGGAAAATTCGACCCATTAATTGATTCAAATACCCAGATTAATAGCTAAAATCAGGAGACAAAAAATGCAGCAAAACAGCATTCAAATCTTAAAGCATAGAACCAAACAAACTATAATCAATTAAATTGTAAAATAAGAGAAGTTGATACAAACTATAATCAACGAAGTAAGAACTCACCGAAAAACAACTGGGTGAGATATTGGTATGAAATCGATTTGAATGTTTCTACAGAAAATTCGTCAAAAAGGCAATGCAAGAAAAAAAGGATGATGGTTTGAGAAACTTTGATGAGTTGAAACTTGAAACAGTATCGGTGGAAGGTGGCGTTATGTGGGAAGAAGTTGAAGTTCCCCCTAACCAAATCAAATTGAGAAGTTTTTTACCTTAGCTAAACTCCAAAAGTCCAAATGTTTAGAGTATTTCATTTTAAATGTGTCAAATTGGGTACTTGGATCGGAATTGATAATGTCGGGTTGAGTTGCTACTAAAGATGAGTCGTGTTAAATTACTGTATCTATATAATTTAAATGAGTTTGTTTATTTGGTTTTTTTTCTTTAATTCTTAAAGATTAGATCAAATTGGATAGATCGAGTCAGTTTTTAACACCTCCACCTCTTTGATCCTTTTTATTTATTACCCTGTGGATACTATTGATACAAAAAAACCATAAGAAAACAATAAATTTAGGGCTTGTTTGGCATTAGTTTTGGTTTTCAGTTTCTTGTTTTTTATAAAACAAAAAAACTAAAAACAGGAAACAAGAAAAAGGTGTTTCCACTTTTCAGTTGTCAGTTTTCAAAATTATCATAATTTTAATAAATTTATATAATTTTTTATTCATTATGGGATTCATATCATATATTTTTAGAAAACAAAAAACCAAAAAACAGAAAATCACTGCAATGCCAAACGAACCCTTAGATATCTTAAATGAATATGCGGGGGGTGACGTAATGATGTCAATTTGGGTCTTCAGATGGGATTCAAGTTAGGTGACGTAGTGGATACCTTGTAAATAATTTAGATTACTTGTATTGTTTTATTTGTTTAAATAAATTACAATTTTCAATAATTATCTATAATTTATAATCATCTATAATTTTTGTTAATTTTACATAATAAAATTTGTTTTAAAATATTATGTCAAAACAAGATCCAAGTATGATATATTTGATCATTAAGTATAATGTATATAAATTAATCTTAGACTTTAACCATTAGCTTAACTTTTTAGTTGAGTTGATTTTCTAATAAGATATCAAGAGGTAAAGTGACAAAAAGCTAGGTCGCGAGTTTAAATCTTATCCACCATTCCTTTTAAGTGTAAATTTAGCATTGTGTAAGGCAATCACAAGCTACATCATTTAAGAGGCATAAAAGTATATAAATCTTGTATTTACAACTGTGTTAAGTTGTTAACATTTGACCATCGAGCCAAAAATTTATCTTTACGATTTCATTCAACAATGGAAGGTATTGCCCAGTGACGGTTTCAGTATGGGTTCATCATGGATTTGGGGGAAATTCGTAATTAAGAGCTGGAAAAATCTAAGTTGAATAATCATGCAATTGCTTTATATTGTTAAACTTATCCGTGGTTTAGTGGTCAAGCATTTCACGTGATAGAATTTTACTTCATCAGATTTTAAACCTCTTTTATTTTTGCAGCAAGTCTTGTGTATGATTGGCCACACCGTATGACCATTTATAAAAAAAACTAGAACAAAGTAACCCTTATAATATTGACCAAGCAACCTTTGTAATACGACTGAGTAATCCCTATTATACTGATAAAATGACCCTTTTAATACTTACCAAGTAATCCCTAAAGTTGTTGGTCACACCGTGTGGCCAACCATTGCATTTATAAGAAATTGTGTTTATTTTGCTTTTTTTTTTCACAATCATACTTTTTGTTTATCTGTTTTTTCCCCCTTGACATTTAACACAATAGCTTGTTAATTTCTATAATTTTTTTGTTGCTTCATTTGATTTTTATTACTGTGTATTATATTTTTCTTTTCAATAAAATCAAACCAGGCCATATACTTAGAATATATATTACCATCATACTTATATTTTGTACAATTATTATATATAATATTTTTCAATGTACTCCCTTCATTTCTAAAATTCGGCTCACTTTGCATTTGCGCGATATCCAATGAACATGTTTGACCATGAATATCTTCGGATATGTATAAGTGAAAATTATAAAAAGTTGATATTTGAAAAATTTATAATAAGGGAAATCTATTATGATTATAAGATCACATATGCTAATTTTATAATAAGTCACTAAATATGGTTAAAGTTATTTTTATTTTTACTCCATGAATATTAAGTGAGTCGAATTTTCAGAAACGGATTGGAGGTAGTATATTAGTTAACAAAACTATCTTATGCTTGATAACTTCGAGAGCCCATACTTACAAGGGCAAATTCCTGAAACCGCCACTGGTATCCCCTTAGGCCCTCAGCAGAATTAATACTTATTAGTATAGTTTTTTGAAATTTTTAGTTAATTTGTCAAAATAAAGGGGAGTAACTTTTATGTGGCAAACCGCCATGGGGACTCGAGTGATTAGTGTTAAAGGGGGTATCATGTGGGTTACTAAATTAGTAATATACACCCCACTTGAGAACGGCAACGCCCTTGTTGCGCCTAGAAAGCTAGGGACTTCAATATGGCCCCAGAATTCTCCTTCGCTAGACGACTGACATAGGATTAAGGAAAACTTCCCAGGAGGTCACCCATCCCAAAACTACTCCCAACCAAGCACGCTTAACTGTGGACTATCTTAGCGAATGAGCTTCCTAAAAGGAAGATGCACCTTGTTGATATATGAGTAGTATATCTAATCGTTTTAAAGCAATCATAAGGGGTATTACAGCTAGGGTTACTATACTTCGTATTATTTAAGGGTTAGCATTCATTAGGTATAATAATGAGTTACTTTGTCAGTATAATTTGAGAATACTCCGTTTTTTCACAAACGGTCATATGATATGGTCACCCACACATAATACATGATGTATTCATATAGATTATAGAGTGACACATATGAAACAACCAAATTTTGGTTATATATTTCAAAATAAAAACAAAAAACATTGAAATAAATTTTTTTTTTTTAATTTTTTTTTATATGTTATATCTTGATAGCAATAGAAACGAGATAGGAACATGAAGTCAGTCTGATTCATAAGTATCATATGTCTTGGTCAAGATGCCTCCTTATTTAGGGACGCCCAGCAGTTTCTTCAAGTCCTTCTGCAAAACGGTCGAAAAAAGATCAATTAAATTACCCAAATTGTTTCTTGGTATCATAACGAGTGAAGCTTAAGTTTTTACCTCGACGATCTTTAGGGGAGTAAATGGTGAGATGCGATCAACAACGTTACCATGTTTATCAACTACAAACTTGGTAAAATTCCACTTTATTCTATCTCCCATAAACCCCCTTTTGGTTGATTTCAAGTACTTAAATATTGGGGCAGCATTACTACCATTCACTTCAATCTAGAAAAAAAAGAAGCCAAAATGTTAAACAAATTAAGTCATAAATGCTACTCCCTAACAACCAACAACTACAACTAGTTATGTCGAATAGACCCTAATACTCTTGATTGTATCACTCTCTCCGTGTTTTTTATAAGAGTTACATTTTGGCCAAACACGGATGTCAAGATACGACTTTGACCATTAATTTATCTAATTATATGGTAGTAAAATTATAGGAAAATAAATATTATGAAAGTATACATTATAATGAATTTAACAATGTATTATACAATAACATTTATTATTTTTATATATTAGTAAATTAATCAAGTCAAAACAATATCATGTGAATAATGAAAAAGTCAAATTATAACACTTATTAAAACATGAAGAGAGTAATAGGTTTCACATTTTATCCGGACCACACTTCTCAATGATAGAGTATAAAACATATTCCTGTGCCTCAACCATTAGCTTAATATTTTGGTTGAGTTGATCCTCTAACATGGTATCAGAGTCAACGTGATATAGAGGTCACGGGCTCGAATCTCAACCACCCCTCCTTTAAAGTGGAATTATTTCGCACCGGGTATGGGAAGGTCTGTGCTGCATTCACATTTCAAGCCTAAAGGGCCTTTCATGTGAGGGGAAGTGATAAAGTATAAAACATATTTCTAAACCTTAACCATTAGTTTAAGATTTTGGTTGAGTTAGTCCTCTAACACTCAAATTTATGAAGGTACTAACATATGATCAAATGGAGTATTATGGTGGTTTGTAAATGATCAAACAAGCAAAACACCTTGTCAAAAATGGGGAATTCAGCTTTGTAATTCGTGCACGCAAACTCCACGATCTCCTCATTAGTTCCTGGCTCTTGCTTAAACTGGTTACTTGGAAATGCCAAGATCTCAAATCCTGCAGCAATTCAGCACATTCATAAGTCGTCTAACCTTCCGTATAACAGCGCGAACAAAAACAAAAGGAAGAACATAGAACAAAGAAGCTAAGCTACCTAGGTCCTTGTATTTATCATACAATTGTGTCAAGTAAGTGTAGTTTTTTTTGGTAAGACCACTGCACCCAAAACAGAAATGGAGTGAGCTGAGTTTAGCACAAATGGTAGTGCCAACAAAAGAAATGTACGTCTTAAAATGATAGTTCACGCCATATCATACGTACCATAGTGATGCAACGTTAATAATCAACAATACCTTCCCTTTGTAAATGCTAAGATTAACATCTTTACCACTTGCATCCTGCATATTAACAATTAATATGTTGATCAAACTAAGTCCGATATTTTATAGGCACTATATCAAAATACGTTCATTCTGCATTCTGCAATGTAACAAACTAACAATAATAGCCGAATAATAGCCGCGACTCTGACAAAACATATGTAGTATAAGAAATCCAAAACATATACTCTCTTCGTTTCAATATGATAATCCCATATACAATCAATCACATAAAATAAGAAAAGGAGAATATTTGAATCTAACATTAAAGTAAAAAAAAAAAAAACAATTCATAAATAGTTTTGCCTTATTTAAAATTTTGATTTTTTTTTTAGAAAGCATTAGCTTTAATTGCATAAATCAAGGGAGTAATTTCTTTACTTAGAGTCAGGTCAAAAATTCACAATCAATTAATTTAACCAATCAAAATTTAATACTACCTCCGTTACATGTTATGTGTAACGATTTAACATAAAGCAGAGAGAAAAATGTCTAATCGTTGCACATAACCTATAACGAAGTTAGGATGTATAAAATAGGAAATAAAAACTAAGTTAAAAGTGAAATATATTCAATATGTGTAGATCTTTTTAAAACGCCCAAAATAATATATGAGACTAACAAATTGAAACAGAGGGAGTACATGTATCAACCCTACAAACCAACATTAAAAAAAAATAAAATCAATTACTTTATTAATAATCACAACAAAATTGAAAGTTTTGTAGAATATAAGAAACAAAAGTACAATTAAAGAATAATCAAAAAGAAAAACTAACTTTGACAATAAATTCGTGGACTGATCTGGGTTGAGCATAAGAGTAATAAGTTGCCATCGATGGTTGTGATCTAGAACTTGAGAAAAGGGGGAATGATTAATACACCCAAATGATCGACAAATTATCTATATTAGTGAAGATCTCTAAATGACTTGGCTTTGACATCGAAGATAATTGATTATATATGAAACAATTGACACAATATAAATGGAAATGTACAGAAAATCTAGATAAAATGTGTTGTAAAATATGAACTACCTATGACAAATCTAACAGTATATATGCAAATATAGAAAAGTCTAGGCTATAATTATCCTAAGCAAAGGTAGAGAACTTGTAGATAACATAAAGCTACTTGAGGAAAGATGTGAATTCATGTAAGCACAATTGGATGTACAATTGCACAAAGAAAATAATTTCCAATTAATTATAACTCAACCATATTTCATCGTCCTTGTCACATTATGTATAGGTTTTGTAAGTATTATTGTTTCGTACACCCAGGTGCATAACGCTCACTTTATAACCGATGAATGTAAAGACTGGATTCAAAGAGCATAATAAAGACATTAACAAATGGGAGTAAACCTTAAAAGAGCATAAGAATTAAACTGAATGAACATGAACCCTAAAAGCAACGAAGAACATGTCTAATCATCACGTCCAAACTCAAACATGTAGTTCAAACTAGGGGTGAAAATTCGGTTTTCGGTTTGGTTTATAGGCCAAACCGAAACCGAACCACCCTAATTCGGTTTTTGGTTTTTGGAAACCAAACCGCACCACTTTACTTTTGAAACCAAACCAAACCAAACCATATAAATTTCGGTTTCAAAAGAAAAAACCGAACCAAACCGAATTTTTTTGGGCCTTGTTTATTTGGGCTTTAATCTGCAATTTTTGTGGGCTTAAATCATATAAATATTATATTCATCAACATATGTAGTAGCATAAATGCTTAATGAGATTTAAACAACATTAACAAGTTCTAAAACTTCAAAGTTATAATTCAAAGTTTTAAAAGTTCAACACTTCATCCAAAAAAAAATAAAATTGTTCAACATTACAACTTTAACAATTGTTTAACAGCAGTAGCAACAAGCAGCATAGACCAAGTTCTAAAAGGCAGTAAAAAAATTGTTTAACAGCAGTAGCAACAAGCAGCAGGGCAGCAGCAACATCATAACAGCAGGTCAGCAGCAAAAGCAGGTCAACACTCAGCAGCATAGACTAAGGCAGTAGCAGTGATAGAGCAAGGCAGTAGCAAGTCTGGCAAGTGGCAACAACAAGTCAACAATGAGCAAAGAGCCACATCAGTCTATTATTTCAAGCACTTCATCAATATCAGCATCACCAACTGCCATATTCTTCAAGTCTATCATAATTCATAACAAAAATAACCAAGTTAAAATATATACACATAATGAAAATAAGTAACTTATGATTAGATGTTCTTATATATTACCCTCTTCAAGAAGCTCAACTTCCTCTAAACATTCTTCAATACTTGGAAATGGTGAAACACGTAACCAATTTTGAGCACAAACAAGACCTTCTACAACTCGAGGAGTTAATGAGCTCCTAAACTGATCTAGAACCCTGCCCCCAGTGCTGAATGCACTCTCAGAAGCTACTGTCAAAACAGGGACAACAAGAACATCACGGGCAATTCTCCCCACAGTAGGAAACCTTGAACAATTGAACTTCCACCAGCTCAAAATGTCAAATTCATCAATATCCTCCGCTGTATCCTCCTCCAAATATTTGTTTAACTCTATTTTTGCATCTCCATCTCTCTCACACTTGTGTTTCTTATACTTACTCTTTAAGACTTCAATCTTTTTATGTTTGGGACTCAATGGAGTTTTGCCATCCTTACTTGAAGACACTTCCTCCCTATTCACATCATTACCAGAAGAAACACGATACTCCTCATACAAAGCATTCAAAGCTACCTTCACATTATCAACTAACTTTGATGCAACAATAGGGTCATAAATTTCAGTTATCATCCACTCAACATAATCAAGCTTATAACGAGGATCAAGGACAACGACAATAAAAATCAGGAGGTTTATTTTTTCTGGATCACCCCAATACTTTTCATATTTTTCTTTCATTCTACAAGCCATAAGACACATATCCACATCATCACTTGAAACCAAATCTTTCATAAGTACAGCAACACTCACCAATTCATGAAAAACAAATTCAAACTGACATATAAAGAGCCAGAGACATGCAAGGTCAGATCATAAAAGGCTTGTAGAAATTCAGAAAGTCTTCTTACATTATTCCAATCATCAGAATCTGGGCTACCCTTACCATCCCTCTCATTCAAATCAACTACATAGTGAGGGTCTTCCCCAGAATACCTCTCAAAAGCATCTTGAAGCTCAATAGCAGCATTCAACATCAAATAGGTGGAGTTCCACCTAGTAGGCACATCAAGGCACAATCCCTTTTTTGTGTTGATTTTTTCATCTAAGACACATTTTTTAAACCTTTGCAACCTAGCAGGAGATTGTTTGATAAACCTAACAACATGCCTAACACGTTGAACCGACTCATTAACAGTTTTCAACCCATCAGAAACAACCAAATTGACAATGTGTGCAACACAACGCATGTGAAGGAAACGACCCTTAAGAACCCCAGTTTTCCACCCATTTATTTTCCTTCTCATATACACAATTGCAGTATCATTTGAGCTAGCATTATCAACTGTTATGCACATGACATTTTCAAGCCCCCAATCAAGCAAACACTTTTCAATTTCTTTGCCAATATCATCACCCTTATGACTAGAAATAGGACAAAAATTCAGAATTCTTTTGTGTAATTTCCAATTATTATCAATAAAGTGGACAATCAAGCACATGTAATTGATTTGTTGTATAGAGGTCCATGTATCAGTGGTTAAAGAAACTCTTGAATTACACCTTTTTAACACATTTTTCAGCTTTCGTTTTTCAGTTAAATATGTTTCAAAACAATCTTTGGCTACTGTAATTCGAGAAGGAACATTAAATCTAGGCTCTATTACACCACAAAAATGTCTAAAACCTATACCTTCAACAAACTTAAATGGAAGTTCATAAACAATCACCATAAATGACAAAGCTTTTCTAATACTACCAGCATCAAATTTGTGGTATGTCAACCCACTAGTACCACCACTTGGTTCTTTAGCACTTTTAAATGAAAGCAAACTTTGTTTTGAATCTTTAGGGGTGTTAAAGGGATACTTACGACATCGCGAAATATGAGCCCATAACACACTAGTGCCGTTTTTCTTTGCCCCACACTTGTAGCTCATCCCACAATACTTGCAAATTGCCTGCATTCCAGAAGGTAAGTCTTCTTTATCAAAGTGCTCCCAAACTTCAGAGCGTTCTTTCATCCTCTTCCTTTTTGCTCCCTGTTCTTTTTTCTGATTTTGAGAGACTTGGTCAGTCTCATGTTCGGATTGAGGCTGGTCAGGAACACCACCCACGTTGGTTGTCATTCAATAATTCGTGGTTGAATAACAATCTGTAAGAATACATGCAAACTCATAAATTAAGAATATTGGATCTTTTAAAGGGAATAATAATTATACCCCTAATAAACAAAATCAGTAGTAACTGGCTAACTGCACCAAAGACAATAACAATTTAGCAATAATAATTAGCCCCCTAAGATTCCACCCCACCACCCAAAAACAATCAAATTAAGCACTAACTGACTAACTGTACCCAAAACAAGTAAAATCAAAATTAACAATAATAACAAAGATCAACAATCTAATAAACACTTATCAAGACAATGATAATGCTATTAATCATGCGAACCCTTGAATTAATAACTAACTAATAATCTGAAACAATCTTCAACAGAGTCCAATCGAATAGAGCTTCAAAATACCAGAAAATTCAGAATGTTTTACTAGACCAAAACCCTAATCAGAATGTTTTACTAGACCAAAACCCAAAATACCCTTGAATAGACCAAAACCCCGAAGCATCAAAATACCAGAAAATTCAGAATGTTTTACTAATTTGTACAGAATAGAAAATTCAGAAACAACATCGCAATATGAACATAAAGCATATATTAAAACCCTAATCAGAATGTTTAACAAATTTGTACATGTAATTTGCAGATTTTCGTAATTAACATTTAACACTAATCATAATTAAAACCATAAAAAAATATGAACATCAAGCATAATCAAAACTTAAAAGCATACCTTTGGACGGTGGACGGTGTCACAGTGAACGCCTGAACGAGTGCGCTGTGCCGGTGAACGATGGAGAATTGGAGAGTGAGAATTCTGAGAAACACAAAAGAGATGATTGAGAAACTGAGAAAGTGAGGGTGAGAGACTGAGAAATTCGCAATGAGGGTAGGGTAAGAGGCGAGGAACTGAGGAAGTCAGGAGAGAGAATCAGAGAATGAGGGTTAGGGTTTTTTTTTTTCCTTATATACTTAGGGTAAATCTGCCAATCTGGGCCTAAATTTCGGTTTTCGGTTTTTTTCGGTTTTCCATTTCCTCAAACCGAAACCAAACCGAAAACCGAAATATTTTTTTTTAAAAAACCGAACCGAACCACTTCAAAAAAAAAACCGAACCATATTTCTTATTCGGTTCGGTTTTCGGTTCGGTTCGGTTTTAACCCGAATTTGTTTCACCCCTAGTTCAAACCTATATATAACACGTTCATTTTTATTAAACAACTAAAAGAATATGTATTGTATTGAAAAAGATAGATTAGAAGAACATATATACATACTCAGTTTATTTAAATGCATTACTTTCTGTGCGAAAGTTTCAAATTTTTTATTTGGTGTTTAGAGTTTCATAAGGGTGAGTGATGAGAATCAATCTCAGGATCACCTCCAATTTCAAATTTTTTATTTTGCAATGGTTTCTAAGGTTTGAATAAGAGTCACCAAGCTTATACTATATATAGAGATTAAAGTATAATAACAGCTGCAAAAATTCACAAATTAGAATAAAAAGAAGATGCACTAAAAAGTTTGCACAACAAATTTACTTAATTAATACATCACAAATAATACAACTA